TTTGTACCATATCTCCTCTTATCCTCCCTGTTAGTTTGGCAATATGGAAGTATTCCATCATTTTAGATAACCAGTCTGTTTTAGTTGGGACGCTGCTGCTTTTCCAATTTTTGGCAATCAATAACCTTGCTGCCGTAGTTGCATACATAAATATTGGTCTGACCGTTCTTTTTATTTCCTCTGACATGATACCTAGCAGAAAGGATTCTGGTTTTATTTCAAATGAAAATCTAAACATCTTTTTCAGTTCGTTATAGATATTTTCTCATAATCCCTCTATCTCTTTATACTCCCACCACATATGTAGAAAGGTTCCTGCCTTCTTAATTGTATTTCACTATTAATATACTTCTTATTAATTTTATTTCAGTTCAACAATTACTTTGATAAAATACATATTTTGTTATGTACAAATGGCATTAGATACCTATTGTTTAGTCGTGTCCGACTCTTCGTGACCCCATGGACCAGAGTACACCAGGCACTCCTGTCTTCATATACCTATTAGGTCCATAAATTATCATATAGCATATATTCAACAATAACAAATAAACCGTGACAATTCGTTGTTGACAAAGGACAGCTGGACATATAAAGGGCCCCATTACCTTCACTAGCTTAGGGCCTCATCAAACCTAAATCGAGCCCTGGACCAAACCCAATGGTATGATCGATGCAGGATAGCTGTGCAATAAATTTTTTAAGGTCTTATATGTAATAAATGTTCATAAATGTACCAAGCAAATACGTACATAAATATATATATAAACCATATGTCCGAAGCAGCACAGGAAGACAGTCCTGAAACCATTTTGACTCCCAAACTGACCAAGCGTTTCTCTGCAAGGAGGAATTGTCTTAGGAATTAAGTAATTACCATCTCAAAGGAATGGCCAGACTACCAGAAAAGGCAATCAGATAAGGCATTATCGGATAACCTGGCAGACAACAACAACAACGTTCAAATCTCTGTTGTAGACCGCCTTTTCTGTGATGTAGGTATGATGTTTGGGGGGGGGGGGTCTTGAGCTCCAGGGCAGGGAATTTCAAAATGTCTATATAAGGACGGGCACACCTTTGTTCTGGGTCCTCCTCCTGCCTGTGGGGGGAGCACCCTGTTGCAACAGCTTTAATAAAGATCAGGCTTACTAGCTGCTTTGCTTCTCAATATTCTCTGGTTGGCAGCTGTTATTTTCTCCTGCGGATGGAGAACCTACAAAGGACTCTATAAGGGCTCTTGTGTACCCCATAAGGGAATAAGGGCAGATTTTGTTTACAACAGCTGGCAAAACCCGAAATGGCAAAAATGTTACAACCAGTGTTAGAACCTGAGATATGAAAGCTAAGAGCTGAATGGCACCACAAACCCAGGTTATGGGTGCAACAATGGAATGTGTTGGCGTGCTTTTTATATATAACAAGAATACAAAGCTGAAAATGAATGAACTGCAGTTAAAATATTCTGTTCATTTTTCACATGGTCTAGTCCAGGGGTCTGCAACCTTTAAGACAAAAAGAGCCACTTGGACCCGTTTCCAAAGAAGAAAAAACTGGGAGCCACAAAACTCGTCATTATAAAAATAACTTTTTTGTCACTTTTTTATTATTTCTTTGTTTGACCCCTGAGAATTACTCCTCCTCATAGAAATAAACGTTAAATTAACAAGTTACCTTTTTTGTGTGTGTGTTCTTCACTCCCCTTCAAAACAGTGACCAGCGTACATGCCCCCTTTCAATGCAGTGACCAGCGTACATGCCCCTTACAATGTAGCGGGCGGGCGGGAAGGTGACGTCGGGACGGTGCGTGACTAACGCACGCACCGTCCCCATGCGACGTCACAGCCAGTACAGTGCCCGCTACAGTGGGGAGTGTCGGGGCGCACAATGCGCCTCCTCCCCTTGCTAGTATCCGCCCCGGAGCCGCGGCAAAGGTGTAAAAGAGCCACATGCGGCTCTGGAGCCGCGGGTTGCAGACCCCTGGTCTAGTCCTTCCCTTGCCCACCTCCCAAATATTCTTAAAAGGGTCTCTTCTCCAGTCTTCAGAGATAGCTGGAACTGGGGAGGCAGAAAAAGGTTGTCCTTTCCTTCTACCATACAGTTTTAAGTGAAATGCTTCTTCAGGTAGTTGAATCTCAAACCGCACAGGGGTTCTTATAACAGGATTAACACCTTAATTCGGACCCTGCTGCAGAAGCTTTAAGGCTGATTTTTCATATGCATGGGGCCACAGTTGTACCATCACCTGTGCAGCCACATTTTATACTAGCTGACAATAATAATAATAATAATAATAATAATAATAAATTATTATTATTATTAATTCCTTGAGGAATTAATTTCTGTTTGTTTTAACTACAGTAATCCTGTCTTTTAGTTTACCGGTTTTTATTGCAGGGGGTTTTTCTCTTTAGTATTTTGTAAGTGGCATTAATTTTTAGATGACAAATCAGTGTATAAATAATGCATACATATCTTTTTCTCAAGTTATCTCACTCCCCGCCCCCATGCTTGGTGAATAATGAGCCTATGCTAGACAGATGTTGCTTCCCTATATTGCATCAGTGATCTACTGCTCTCCAAGACCTTAAGTAGAAGGACCTTCCTAGCCTGTTTTAACTAGAAACCCAAGGACTAAACTTGTGACCTTCTGCACACAAAGCATGTTCTCTGCCAATGAGCAAAACAAATAAATCAGCTGACTTGTCACGTCACACATCCACTCATTTGAACTGAACTGTGCAAGGAGGAATTCATATACACTTTGTACGCCTGTCCTGGGGGAGTAGTACTCCCCCCCCCCCCGAATGTCCTGTGCTCCATGGGTTCTGGGATGGGGTACACTCAGACATGACACTAACTGAGGCCCAGATAGGTAATGTGCAGCAAATCCAAATTCATTGAAGCTTTGGCCCTTGGTCCAGGACCAGGTCTCCAAGTGCACACTCCTTCCCCTCAAAGCTGTTAGAGCAATAGCAACTCCTCAGCATGTTCTGGCTTGTCTCTCTCAGGGCCCAGGTCCTCTCCAAGAACATCTGCCGTAGACACCAGAAGTTCAGTTCAGCACCACTAAGCTTGGCCAGCTTGTGGAGCCCATGGCACCACAATAGCCTCTTTACAGATAATAATAATAATATATAATAATTTATTATTTATACCCGCCCATCTGGCTGGGCTTCCCCAGCCACTCTGGGCGGCTTCAACAAAATATTAAAAGACCGTAATACATCAAACATTAAAAGCTTCCCTAAACAGGGCTGCCTTCAGATGTCTTCTAAAAGTCTGGTAGTTGTTGTTCTCTTTGACATCTGGTGGGAGGACGTTCCACAGGCCGGGCGCCACTACCAAGAAGGCCCTCTGCCTGGTTCCCTGTAACTTGGCTTCTCGCAGTGAAGGAACCGCCGGAAGGCCCTCAGCGCTGGACCTCAGTGTCTGGGTAGAACGATGGGGATGGAGACACTCCTTCAGAAATACTGGACCGAGGCCGTTTAGGGCTTTCAAGGTCAGCACCAACATTTTGAATTGTGCTCAGAAACGTACTGGGAGCCAATGTAAGTCTTTCAAGACCGGTGTTATGTGGTCTCAGCGGCTGCTCCCAGTCACCAGTCTAGCTGCCGCATTCTGGATTAGTTGTAGTTTCTGGGTCACCTTCAAAGGTAGCCCCATGTAGAGTCCATTGCAGTAGTCCAAGTGAGAGATAACTAGAGCATGCACCACTCTGGCGAGACAGTCCGCGGGCAGGTAGGGTCTCAGCCTGTGTACCAGATGGAGATGCTAGACAGCTGCCCAGGACACAGAGTTGACCTGCGCCTCCATGGACAGCTGTGAGTCCAGAATGACTCCCAGGCTGCACACCTGGTCCTTCAGGGGCACAGTTACCCCATTCAGGACCAGGGAGTCCTCCACACCCCCTGCCTCCTGTCCCCCCAAAACAGTACTTCTGTCTTGTCAGGATTCAACCTCAATCTGTTAGCCGCCATCCATCCTCCAACCGCCTCCAGGCACTCACACAGGACCTTCACCGCCTTCACTGGTTCTGATTTGAAAGAGAGGCAGACGGTTGGTGAGGCAGGAGGCCAATGGAAGGTCTAGTTGAAGCAAACCAATTTCATTTTTGTCTTTGTCTTCCTGCCTGCTGTGTTTACAAGGACCAACATGAAATTAAATAGGAGGAAGCTTGGCTGGTTTTGTGTAAGAAAGGAGGCGGATGGAGGCTGGCTGACGGAGACTGAGGTTGGTGGGACAGTGCCTCATTTGCCCATATAGACTATCTTCCACTGCCCGTTTCTGAGAGCTATGGGACTGGGGATGAGGTATAGGTCTAGCAGTCCTCTTGCTGTTTCTTCTTTAGGATAGCCTAGGACCCCACCCTGTGGCCAAGTTCCCAAACCTTCCAAGTGTCCCTATTTTCCAAGAACAGTCCTGGATTTACGGAAGCCGCCCTGGTTTCTGATTTGACTCAGAATGTCCCACTTTCCCTTAGGATGTCCCTATTTTCACCGGAGAAATGTTGGAGGGTATGGTAGGATGTCCCTGTTAGATATTATTCGTGGAGACAAAGGACTAAGACTCCAGCATAAGGATAACCCTTTTATTCAGCGCGTTTGCAAAGGCGGACTCCTCGTACCCGTGGATACGAAGAGCCCCGATCAAGTTTCAGTACAACAGTTTTATACCTAGCTGCCGCCCCTCTTTTGGAGGCTTGGCTTACAATCTATCTATGCAAGTTTGACACGTGTCTAATACATTGTTCAATCTACTCTATTCATGTTGCTCATTATCAAATATGGGCACCTCCTTTGGCTTGCCTCAGTGTGGGTGGGGAGAAGCAGCTGCAAGAAGCCTAGATAAGCCTAACTGTGAACAAGAAGTTTGTGGCTTCTTACAAAGAACAGAATGTTATCAGCTTGCGCCTGTGACTGCGTTATCTCATGCTCGTGACTGGCTTCCAAGGCTGAGTTTGAGGCACATACTTATCTGTATTGTTCCTTTGTTTCCCGATCTTACAGTTTCCCAACCTCACAATCCCCCCTTTTCTTTTTATACCTTGCCTCAAACTCACGTAATATCTCCCAATATTCCCTCCCTTCCTCGTCCGTGGGTACTGGGGTGTATCTCATGGCCATTAGCTGGGTAGTTACATGTCGCTGGGCCAACAGGGAGAGGGAGTTGTTAATGGCCCGGGCAAAGATAGGTAATACGCATGGAATTAATACACATCCTGCGGCTATTAGTCCAATCAGAGCCACGACAGCCTGTAGCCCTGGCAGTTTTGGAAACCAGGATCCAAATAAATCTTTAAAATTTAATCCGTCCCATGTTTGCACCGGTACATGCGCTAGTTTTATCATTCTATCAGCTATATCCTTAACTACTTTACCACTTTCATCGATCTCGATACAACAATTGGTTAGGTTAAATTTCCCACAAACCCCGCCCTCCTTTGCTAACAAATAATCTAAAGCAAGCCTGTTTTGCATAATATAAGTACGGCTCTTTGCACTTTCTCTAGCTAATTTTGTCAGTGCCATAGCAGTTTCATTAGTTATTATCTCTACTACAGCTTGTAACCGAATGATACGGTTTAATAGATAGCTTGGATCTCTTCCGAAAGACCCCGCTGTCCCATCATTTGCCCAAGTTGCAGGACCATAATATTGAATTATTCTCTCGGGGGGCCACTCATTATCCTGCCATGTCCCTATGTGAATCGCCCTCCTTTTCCTAGGCCCAATTTCCTCATATACTGGCACGCCCAGCATAGCCTTCGTCTCTAGGGGAAGTAAAAAGAAGCTAGGTCGGAGAGTAGCCAGTACACAAGACCCCACCCAATCTGGGGGTAGTCGGTTATATGCATACCCCCCGCATGCCCAATAGAATCCATCCGGGGTCGTCCATTCCCTTGCCATGTTCTGTGGATCCTGAAGGAAAGTCATATTATTCATGTTGGCCAATGCCGATGGCCAGGTCTTGGTTACATTACTCGAACTCCACCACTGCCTGTTGTTCCATTGTCCTAAACAGGGGGTGTCCCCTACTTCTGTACCACTTCCTGCGTCTGACTTATTTCTGACAAAACATTCTAACCCCACAAGGCTATTTGAGACTTGCCAAATTTCATTACCTGGGTGGTGGTATGTATAATTCTTTTCATTTTTCCAAACCTCAGTGTAGTTTACTTCGTGAGCAACCCAGGGCCATTGGTCTCCCATATTCGTCCCTCCACACACAAAACAATTCTTCACAGTTAGCTCTTTGGCGATAGTCTCAGCTAAACTTAAAAACATGTTATGAGCTTTTGGGGAAGGAGCAAACTATTTAAGTGTTGTATTTCTTCCTCAAAACTCTCAAATACTGAGATTGGCTGTTTACTGACTTTAGTGGTATGTATTTTAATAATTAGATACCCATAAGGATCTCTTCCGGCCCCGTCTATTCCCAATCCAAGATAAACGTATTTGGGGGTAGTAGAAGGCAGCTCCCTAGCCCATAAACAGATGGGGTTGCATTTTCCTATGCTGCAGTCAGTGGACGCTCCTTCCCTTGTTATGTTTATTCCTTCTGGACCTTTATATGTGGGGTTGGAGCTCACTCCTTCTGTGTACCAATAGTTCACGATTCCTCCTCCTGCCCCTATGTTGCCTCCCCTTATTCGCTGAAATAGATATTTACTCTCTGTTAGATAGGATTGTTCCCAACCATGGGATCCACAGGTCACCCCTTCTTGGTTGTTTGGTCCCTGTCCTTTGGCTATAGCTGTGCAAGCATCAAAACATACGTGGATTGTTGCAGTCCCTCTGGTCACATTGTGAGCTATATACCCCTGCCTCTGCTGAGCCAACGCGAATGCTACCGATCTTTGTTGCCGCCTCCCTACTGTTCCCCCTTTGTATCCATATACGTAAACGGTGGAGGTGGTGGGTCCTAAGGCCAAAGGTTCATAACATTCTGTTTTATTTTCTCCGGTTTTACATCTATAGTACTGGGTCTGATTGTGGACACAGGGGTCTAGTATCTCCTTGCACTCTGGAGCTACATTATAATACATTAAGGTCCTTGTAATTTTGTTCCCTGTTTTTGTGACTTGAATACATTCTGTACATTGTAGCGTTTCCGCGGAGCCCCGGACCACACCAACTGTTAAGAGGCCTAATAGAAATCCCCTCATCCAACTTATTTTCATATTATTTTTTTTCCAACTCTCTGAGAGCCTGGACCACCGTGGGGGTCTGAACTAAACTGCAATATGTAATTGTCCCTCCCAATGCAATCGTACAGTATTGGAGTATTATGTCCTCTATGTATATGAGATTGCACTCTTCCGTGCAGTGGACACAGCAGACACACCCTTCACAGTGGGCACAGCAACAGCATTCGAAAAGACACTTGCACGTGCAGAATAAACACATTGGAGCTCTAGTTATTGCCTTACAGTCCTTCCCTGGTTCCCGGTCCCTGATTTTGTGATTCTTATTTTTAGTGGATCGTCTAGGCTCGGTATGGCCGTCCAACGTTCAGGCGGGGCCCTCTTCACGCGGTGGTAGTGGGTCCATCCATACTCACGAGTCCGTACTGCTGATTCGGTGATAAGCAGGACCCGAAATGGACCATCCCAACCCGGGCTGAGCTTTTCCGCCTTCCACGTCTTAATCAGGACCAGGTCACCAGGCTGGAAACTGTGTTGCTGCTCCAGTAGCGGAGGGCGTTGGGCCAGGATACCGCGTCTATGAAGAGACAACAAAGACTGGGAGAGTGATTGCAAATACTTTCTAATGAACAAGTCTTTGAACTCCACCATCGGTTGACCTAGTTGCGCCAAGTATGGTCTTCCCATCATCAACTCAAATGGGGATACCCCTAAGTCCTTTCTGGGGGCTATACGCATCCTTAGTAAAGCCAAAGGAAGGTTTTTTGTCCATGGTAATCCATTTTCTAAATATAATTTAGTTAAATGTTTTTTTATTTCTGCATTTGCCCTTTCCACCTTCCCGCTACTCTCTGGATGCCACGGCGTGTGAAGGTCCCATTTGATTCCTAGGGCTGTCATTACTTCCTGTAGAACCTTCTGTGTGAAATGGGTGCCGCGGTCTGAGTCTATGGCTTCTATTATACCAAACCGGGGGACTATATGTTCCAGAATGGCCTTGACTACTACCTGTGCTGTTGCTTTTCGACTTGGGAAGGCCTCCACCCATCCTGTAAGATGATCTTTGAATACCAGAAGATGTTTATAACCTCCCTTCTCTGGTAGCTCTGTGAAATCCACTTGTATTCTTTGGTATGGCCATACTGCTAGAGGTCTTCCCCCTTTTTCTGTTTTCTTCGCTTTGGCCTTATTTACCTTGTGACAGATTATGCATTTCCAGGCTATGGAGTGGGCCATGGGCCACATATCTTTACTCCAATACAATGATTTCACCAGGTTAACCATAGCCTCTGTCCCGAAATGTCCACTCTCATGTATCTTCTCTAGAATCCCCATCATTACAGTCTTTGGCAGTACTATTTGTCCCTCTGGGGTCCTCCATTCCTTACCCTTCTTTTCCCATTCCTCTCTTGTTATATATTCTATCTCTTGAGAGGTGAAAGTTAAATTCTCTGTGTCAGCCGTGGTAAGAATGGGCACCCTCAGGGTACATTGCTGTATTGTTATCTCGTTTGGCACTCCCTTAGCGGCTTCTTTTGCCCTCAAATCAGCCCATCTATTTCCAGCTTCCTCAGGGGTAGTACCCCTGGTGTGAGCGGGGATATGTACCACTGCAACCTTTTCTGGTCCAGTAAGGGCATCCAACAGCCTTTCCAACAAGGCCATGTGTTCTATCTGTTTCCCATTTGCCTTAATGAACCCTCGGTCTCGCCAGGTCCTCCCGAAAGTATGCACCACACCCCATGCATAACGGGAATCGGTCCATATGGTTACTTCCAGGCCCCTAGCCAACTCGAGGGCCCGGGTCAAGGCCATGATTTCACTTTTCTGGGCCGACCAATTCGCCGGCAAGGCCCCACTTTCGATCACCTCCCCATCCTCCTTGACTACAGCATATCCTGATTTCCTTTTTCCCTCCTTAACATAACTAGACCCATCTATGTACCATCTCTCTCCCATTGTTAAAGGGGTTTCAGATAAATCTTCTCGGACCTTTGCCATTAATTGTATTGTGCCCAAGCAGTCGTGTTCATCCGGTTCCCATTCTTTCCTTTCTCCTATCAGGAATTCTGCCGGATTTAGATTCCGATCAGTTCCCAGTGTGATATCAGGGCTTGTTCTTAGCACTGTTTCATAGTGCGTTAAGCGGCCATCCGTCATCCAGGTGGAGGCTGCCCCAGTCAGCACCGTGGATATTTGATGGGGACTATGAACAATTAGGGCTCCTCCAAAAGTTAGCTTTCTGCTTTCAACTACCAATTCAGCCGCTGCTGCCACCACCTGGATGCACGTGGGCCATGCTCGCACTACTGGCTCCAGGGTTCTGCTGAGATAGGCTACTGGCTGATACCGCCCCCCCCTCTTTTGGGCTAAAACTCCGACAGCAGTCTGAGAGCTGATGGTTACATATAAGTGGAATGGCTGTTGGAGGTTCGGTAGTGCTAGGACCGGGGCCCCTATTAATGTTTTCTTTACTTCTTCCCATCTTTGTTCATCATCTTGTCCCCATGTTATTTCACCGTCTCCGACTAGTTTTTGGTTTAAAAACCGAACCAGCTTGGCAAATTGGTCTATCCACAGTCTACAATATCCCAGGAGTCCCAGCATTCTCCTCACATCTGTTTTGTTCTTAGGGGGTTGTAATTCTAAGATCCCCTTGACTCTTTCTGGATCCAATTTTCTTGTTCCCCCTTCTAACAAATGCCCCAAATATTTCACCTTCCGCTGTACAAACTGTAATTTGTCCTTAGACACCTTCACCCCTAGCTTACCCAGCCAATTCAGCAATCTTATAGAGTCTTGTCTAACCTCTTTCTCTTTTTCTCCCATCATCAGCAGATCGTCTACATATTGCAACAAGCTATTGGGGCCTGTGGTGGTAAAACCTGCTAACTTTTCCCCTAGTGCCTGCCCAAAAAGAAGTGGACTTTCTGTATACCCTTGGGGCAAGACCGTCCATCTATATTGTTGTTTTCTGCCCGTGTTCACATCTTCCCACTCAAAAGCAAATAGATCTCGGCTTTCAATGTCAAGGGACAAGTCCAAAATGCATCCTTTAAGTCTATAACGGTATACCATCGGGTAGTGGGTGGAATGCGGCTAAGGAGAGTATATGGGTCCGGTACTACCGGAAACGGGGACCACTATCTGGTTTATGTTCCTTAGGTCCTCAACCATTCTATATTTCCCATCTTTCTTTTGCACTGCTAAGATAGGAGAATTAAAAGGTGACATGGTGGGTTCTAATAATCCCTGCTTTATCAGTTCATTCACCACCGGCTGCAACCCTATTCTCCCCTTCCTAGTCATTGGGTATTGGGGGGTCCATGACTGGGTGATTCCTGGCTTTACTGTGACCTTAATGGGGGCTATGTCCAGTCTCCCTACCATCTTCCCATCTGCCCACACCATTGGGTCTATTTGTTCCTCATCCTCTATCTGCAGAGGGTACATGGGAGTTCCTAAGTCTAAATCCAATAACTGAAATCCCAATTCTACCATCAAATCTCGCCCTAACAAATTTATTCCTGACTCAGGGATGAATAATAATGATCCCTTAGCTATCCGGTCTCCTCTTCTTATAATGGTTTCTTCTAATTGCACAACTTCCTTTGGTTTCCCGCTTACCCCTACTACTTTCAAATTTGACATTGTTTTACGTACCCCTGGAACAGGTACACATATAGAGGACCGGGTCGCTCCTGAGTCTATCAGAAAAACCACTGATTTCTGAGAGGGCCCCACACACAAGTTCACCAGTGGCTCATTCCGGGCCCCATGGAGCGAGCCGGAGGTTCCCTATTCATCATATAAACTGAACAACTCAGTGGTGTCAGTTCCTCCCTCTCTTTCTGTCTGTCTTGGCCTCTGACTTCCCTGTCTTTGCTCATTTCTTTCCAGTATCTGATCTCGTGGGGTCCGACATTCTCGGGCAAAATGACCAGGTTTGTTACATCGATAACAAATGACACTGGAACCTGGTGTGTAACCCCCTCCCTCGCCCTCTTCCCCGATATGGGGCTCCCCCACGTCCTCTCGCAGCCTCGGTTTCCTGTTGTTTCTGAACTTCCCAAGTTTTCTGCAAAGTAGCCGCCATCATCTGGCACTTCTGCTTACTTTTTACTGCCTCCCTGTTGACGT